AAAAACCAAAGTTAAACTTATCTCCTCGCTCTTTAACACCTTAATCTAACAGCTGAAATGTCTCCTCAGCCTTCATTAATTTCTACTGGAGTGGTTCATTTCTAAATCAAGTAAATTAGCTGTGTTAATGAACTGAAACATGCAAGAAATATGTTGGAAGCGGACTGCAGCACTGGCATGTCGGCTCCACTTTACGAAGTCCAAAAGGAACTGGACCGGCACTCTGAAGTTGCAAGTGCAATATTCTGGCAACAGAGAGAGGTGGGTTCTGAGTGATGTTTTAAGGGTCATTTAGCACATACTGGCGAAAGAAAATCTTTTATAAATATGACAAAGTTGTGTAGTATATCTTTAATAGGACAACCATGTGTTCTTGGTACTAGATGTTCCCTTTGAGATCCTGAAATTAGTGCTTTTTTTTCTGCATGTGCATTTTTTGCACAAAACAGCAACAGCTTAATCCAACTTTTAAATGTTGTCAGCTCAAAATTTTTATCTCATTGTGTGTTCTCCCCCTTGTGACTAATACAACCAATATGGTGCTGCACCTCCTCATAACTACATTCTGAGAAGTGTGTGTAATGTTAAATAGTAAAACGAATGCATGCAGTAAAACCATCCCCAGTGGATTTGCCTTTTACTGGAACAACTGGAATCATAACACCAAGAAAACATGGGAAGGTTTCGAAAAGTGTGAAAGTCCCCAAAAAAACACTTTCCTTAATCTATTTTTTCACTAGGTCATCGTGGAGTTTAACCGGTAGACTAATAATTACATCTAAAACAGGAAAAATCTAAAACAGGAAAAAGAAAATACTGAAGTGATCTGACAGCCTGATCTCATTTTAAACAAAGTTTTAATAGCATTTTGTGACTTTTGTTGTGTTTTCCTTTTATTAATCCTGGTAACAAATTTATGGCTCTTTTTCAGGAAATCCAAGCTTGCTCATTGTTTGTGTTCAAGGTCTGATTTCCAGACAATGTAGCCTGTGAAACCTGCGCATTTCAGCAGCCAGCATGTAAATATCGGATGTGTAAGTTTCCTTGAAGGTGCCACAGAGGAAGACTTTTGGCCACAAATGAGATTGCAGCACCAGCACTGCAGACTACCTGTTGACCTTTTACAGGAAACACAGTGGTGAGGAGTGGTCAAAGTAGTAGTTAAAGTAAAACATAACAAAACATACTTTTTAGCCTCATTTTTTTATTTTTTGTCCCTTGTGTTGTTATTATTGCTGATAGTCTATGAAGCTTTTTGGAAAATTGAGAATGAATTCAGAAATTGTTTTCAATTGAAAAACATCTAAAACTGACAGAAGCCATACTGGCATCAAGGAAAAGCAGTCACCTTGTAGATTATCCACAAGTGCCACCTTTAGCAAATTTACTTGACCCAATAAGTTGGGATTAGAGGGGTTTGGGACATTTACCAGTTTAAAAACATTTGTTTTAGCCCCCAGCAACAGGCCGTCACATTCAAATCATGTGTTCATGAGTCATTTGTTTTTTCGTTTCTCTCAAAGCAATCAAATCAATAAGTCTGAGCCACTGATGACCTAATCCATCAGCAGGGTGGAAAATGCTCTCCACTGTGTAACAGAAGGTGGAAGTTCATTTCACGTTTGATTGCCTCTGGAAATAAGAACGATACGATGGAGGTTATTGCTCAGATTTGGTCCAGAGGAATAAAGACAAAGACCCAGGTTAGAAATCTTGGTGTCATAATTGATTCAGACCTGAGCTTCTCTGGTCACATTAAGGTTCTAACTACATCAGCGTTTTATCATCTTCATCAAATAGCACGAGTCAGGGGTCTCATGACCAGACCAGATCTGGAGAAACTCATGCATGCGTTCATCTCCAGAAGGCTGGCCTATTGCAATGGTCTTTTGTCTGATCTTCCCAAAAAAAGCTGTAAAGCAACTGCAGCTTATTCAGAATGCTGCTGCTAGAGCCTTAACACAAGGCAAGAGAACTGAACACATCCCTCCTGTTCTTTAATCTCTACACTGGTTTCCAGTAAACCACAGAATCGACTTCAACGTGCTTCTACCAGTTTACAAACCACTCAATGGCATGGGGCCAGAATGCTTGTCGGATCTCCTTCCGGTATATACGTCCAGCAGGGCTCTGAGATCCTTAGGAAACAGTCAGCTGGTAGAACCTTGGGTCAGAACCAAACAGGGTGAAGCTGCTTTTAGCTACTCTGCTGCTCACATATGGAATCAGCTTCCTCATGACCTGAAATGTGCCCCAACTCTAGAAACTTTTAAATCAAAATTGAAAACCTTCATGTATTCATCAGCCTTTGAATGAATGTCTCTAACGCTGCACCTTCTGCAGTGTAACTGCTCACCCTTTAACTTTGTCTTTTTTCTGATTCTTACATCGGAAATTAATTTGTGTATCTAATTTGTTCTAAATTTATTTCTGCCACATAATTTGAATGTATGTGCCATTTTTGCTCATGGAAAGCACATTGAACTGCCTCTGTGTTTGAAATGTGCCATGCAAATAAAGCTGCCTTGTCTTGCCTACTATTTTTATGCTAACCAATGAAAAGTAACGACATTAGTTGGATTAAGTATGGATTGACAGTTTTAGGGTAGACAATTTAATTCAAAACAACTTCTGCAATGAAAACACACACCGGGATTAACTAAACCTGGTTATTAACCAGCAGAGTCCGAGGATAACCCCAAAATCTTGGTTTAGTTCGCAATCTAGGTGTTTGCGGAGCAGGAAGCTCATCCCCTGCGCACCAGCTGCTGCTCCTGTAATAAATATTATGAGGAAAAAGTGAAGCTTTTAAACTTTGTGTAGGTAAATAGCAGCTAGTTTCCATATCAGTCCCTAAATCCTACCTCCAAAAGGATTGTTCAGGTCTTTGTTGACCTGATCCACATGCAAGATGTTCACATCCATCATTTGCTCAAGTTTAAACGTGAGAGTCAAAGCTTTAAAACTTTATTGGATTTAATCTCATTAAGACCTCTATATATGGCACATTGAACTCTGGATTAATGCTTGAGATGTAAAATTCACAGCAGTGCAGTTTAGCTGTGCTTCATTCATGGTGACAAACATGTTCGTGCGCCGCCACCACTGTCCAATCAGCTCAGCGCTTAATTACTCTTATGACAAGTTTCCTCCCGAGTGTGACCTCCTGACCCAGGTGCAGGCATTTCACTGCGTATAAGCTGCAGTGTCTTATTACACGCTGTGGCTATAATTCCAGCTCAGTTTATACATGCATCAAGCCATAGAAAATGTTGGCCTGTTTTTCTGAATAAATTTTGTCTGTTTTGGGTCAGTAAACAACAGGAAACTATTATCTTTCATCAAATGTATTCTGCTTTAATAGAGGATGTCAACAGAATCAACAGCATTGATGGAAATTGCTTTTTGGCATTAAAATTCGCCAGGAAGGGCACGTTGGGGTATTTTCAGCCACTGGGAGCTCAGATGAGTGTGAAACACGTAATCCTGGTGTGTTTTTCCTGTCACTTTGTCAGAGTGTGAGAACAACAGAGGATCAAAAGGACAATCAAGATTTGTCTTTAAACAATGGCTGGTTTGTGCATAAGATTTTCCTTCCTCGCCTTCTTCCTTTAGTTTCTTAAAATAACCTGATTCTCAGGAAAACCATCCAGATACGGTCAGGAGGAGAATTAAGGATGTTTTTTTTTTTCAAACCTGGGATTAAACTGGGAGGGAGATGACATCTCAGTTATTACAATATCAAAATCTTGTGCTGTGTGGATAGAAAATACTAAATCTGGTTATAAAATCTATTCCGATGTTTGCAAAATAATAAGCCTACATTTTGAAGACTACTTTAATTAAATGTCTCATAAATAAAAAGTTATGTGCATCTACAGAGTGCAGAAAGGATCAATGATTATTCTTTTTAAAAAAACTAAGAACATGGATTGGTTGAAATAGAACTTTATCTGTTGCCTCTTTCAGCAAATGACACAAGTCAGTAACTCTAGGATCTATTAAAACATAAATCACAACGAATGGACAGCTAATGACACTAACATACTGACTGACTGATAACAGCCTGAATTATATGCTGAGAGTCAGTATTAACTCACAATGTCATTTGAGATGAAGGGAAATACTGAAATTAACACAGAAAAAAACATTTTTAAAATCTTATTTCTGATTAGAATTAGTTTGAGTTTTTTATACAGGCTAAACATGAAATAGACTCCTACCTTTTGTGTAGTTTTAGCATGATTGCTCATGCACTCATTTGCAATCTTTATTGTGTTCTTATTTTAAAAAAATGCATTAATTCATTATTAGTAAATGTTTCCTAATTCCAAAACCCAAATATAAGAGGAAAAAGTATTGTGTGCTTGTTTATTAGAAATCTTTTTAAAAGCCACTTTGTCACTTTGTAGATCAGTGTGGCTTAAACACTTTGCTCAATGCATTGCATCTCCATAAGGCAATGAATCTGTTTAAATACAAATTGGTCATCAGCCACTAAAATCATATTAATTTTTGATAATAGGTGATCAGAAAAAATGCATGAAAATTGTTGCAGCAAAATCTAATGAACTAATAAACTTATAACAATTTTTGTATTTTTCATGTCATTCAATCATTTCATATAAAAATCAATTGGCAATAATTGTTTAAATACTATTTTAATTAATTGACATATTCTGTAGTCAATATTTAAAAAAAATAAAATTATTACCTCAAGACATTCTAATTAAATCAGCAAAAAGTGTAATATGCAGCCATTGTTTGCTGTCATAATCTCTAAATATGATCCAAATCCACGCAGTGTAACTGTAATCACCACATTTCTTTTGTCGTAATCTAATTGCATGAACTAGGCTCGTACACAACTGTTTACTGACTTATTAATTTCTTCACAAAACAATCAACTGTTCATATTTTAATGACCTGACGAGGATTTACTGTAATCCGTTAAAACTCCAGTCCGTATTTCCCCTCGAGCCCATCTGGCTCGCTGGCAG